GAGAGTAACATCGGGATGAGCTTATATCTTTAAAAATGTCAATAATTAAGAAATGACCGTGTATCTCGTGAGCTATTGACATTTTTAAAGAAATAAGCTCATCCCGATGTCACACTCATTGAGACCTTTCATTTGAGTACCCACATCAATTTTTCATATATTTTATATATTTATTTATTTCATAAATATCATATATATATAAAATATATCAAAATGCATGTGGGTACTCAAATGAAAGCTCTTGATGAGTGTAACATCGGGATGAGCTTATATCTTTAAAAACGTCAATATTTAAGAAAGTACAGTGCAATTTAAAAAAAGTCATTATTTTATCCAGCAAAATTTTATTTATTTATAATTCACAAATTTTATTGAATAATTCCAAATTTTATGAAAATTTATTTTTGTTATAATTTACTTTCAGGAGCTTTGCCGGAAGCATTGAGTACTGAGTGTGCTAAGTGTTCCAAGAGCCAAAAGGAAGGCGCGATTAAAATTATCAAGTACTTGAGGTAATATTTATTGTTTTTACTTAAAAACTTTTGAACTGTAAATTGAAATCGCGTTAAGTAATCAGGAGTTAATAAATAAAAATTTTATTTTTATCCAAGACGGGTAAATTATTTTTTTTATTCATAATAAATTAACAGGTTATTATTGTTATTTATTCATTAGTTATTCAGCAAGTAATTACAATAATTAGTAAAGTTTTATTTATTTTTTTTTTTCATTGATTTATTCACTGTAATTTGTTATTTTAATCATTAAAATTTCTGCGAATTATTATTTTAAAAAAATAACAAAAGTTTTAAAAATACACTTCACTATTTTGACTTCGAATTTACTGAAAAAAAATTTAATAAATTTTTGGTATTGCCGAACATATAATATATTAAATCACATGACCTACAATCACAAAAGTACTATCGGTAACAAACAAGCGTGAACAAGCAACTTTATTATTGATAAAAAAATGTTCCAGGTCGTCGGATTCAAAACAAAATTTTATTAAAAGAAGTAAATAAATTATTTAAAAAATAAAAATTCATATTTAAAAAAATAAGGGTTAGAAACTTGTTCTTAAAATAATTTATTTTCTAAAAAAAAAAAAAAATTAATTGTTGTAAAATTAATAAAAAAATTATTATTTATATTATTTACAGAGAATACAAACCGAAAGAATTTGGAATACTTGCCAATAAATATGATCCTGACGGAGTGTATCGTAGAAAATATTTTGCATCAGAAGATACCAATAATTTGACGTAATTAAAAAAAAAAAAAAAAAAAAAAAATTACAATTACAGTGTAATAGTTGTAATTTTTTGTGCATTTTCTAATTTTGGAGAAAATTTTGTACTTTTTTTTATTTATGTTGTTATTATTGTTATAAAAAAAAAATATATTTTTATATTGTTACCTACGAGCGACTTTATATTTATTTATTTATTTATTTATTTATAATAACTTGGATTAATAGAAACTTGAAGCTGTCGAGTGCAGTCATCGAACTTTTGAACTACTTGGAGGCAAGCCAATATAAATATACAAATTGGAAGGTATTATTCACGAGATTCATAATGCACAATATATTATGTGTACCGTATAATGTGCATAAGGATAGTGTATTAAATAAAATGACAGGGTTACTGATTAGACACTCAAATGTATGATTTTGCGAGTCACGAAATCTCAGGATCGATTAATTTAATAACACTTATAAAGAGCTAATAATTTGCTATTTGCATAAGTTATTGCCAAAGTTTAAATTACCAGGCGAAATTTAGCTTACGTGGTTTTACTCAAACTCCGTCACCGCTCGATTAAACTTATAAGTCTTTGTCTCATTGTCAGTCGTAACAGCCCCGCTCACTATTAGCGGCACTTGCTCCTCGTATCATGACTAAAAGCTTTGTTTTCACTTTCGAGTAAGATGGATTTACGAAAAGGGATTTTTCTTCTGCCTTTGCTCATCCGACTCATTAAGTGCGATCAATTTTTGGAGAACTTCACCCGCGATTACTACGACAGCATTCACGTTTATCAGTTGATTGTTTTTGGCTGCTGGAACCTTCAAGGTATTTGCAAAAGTTTCTTCAAAAAAATATTTTTTATTGAAATTATTTATTGCATTAAATTCAAAGTAATTTATTTACAGAAGCTCATAATTTTGCTAAAAATGTAATGAGACAAGAAGCTAAAGTTTCTTACAATGAAATTAGTGACAATATTAATTTGGAAAATATATTAAGACTCAATTCTCAAACTCTTGGTGTAATACTCGACCATGATTGTCCAAGCAGTCATTTGATATTAAATCAGGTACATTTATTATTATTAATAATAATGATAATTGATAATAATAATATTTAGCAACCTGTACTATGTAATTGCCAAAAATTACAAATTTTTATGAAAAAAATTTGGACTTAATGATGTTTTATGTTTATGTACCTGAAGTTCCGAACGTTCATTTATGAACGAAAATCGAAAAAAAATTTTTTTTGCTCCTGAAACTGAAAATGGTTTTTCAGTTTCGAATAGAGACAGTGAGCCCTAAAAATGATATATTAGCTCCTCAAAACACAAAAACCACCCCTCCAGCCACCCCAAAAACTTACACTTGGAAAAAAAAATTTAAGATAAAATCCTTCCAAGGGCCCTTTGAAGCTGGCGATTTTTTATAAGACTCATACAATACCCCCACACAATATAAAAAATCACCAAAGCATTAGCTGCCCCGGAACTACCCCACCAGCCACCCCAAACACTTATGACATTAAAAAAAAAATTCTGAAAAAATCCTTCCGAGAGCCCTTTGAAGCTGGCGATTTTTTATAAGACTCATACAATACCCCCACACAATATAAAAAATCACCAAAGCATTAGCTGCCCCGGAACTACCCCACCAGCCACCCCAAACACTTATGACATTAAAAAAAAAATTCTGAAAAAATCCTTCCGAGAGCCCTTTGAAGCTGGCGATTTTTTATAAGACTCATACAATACCCCCACACAATATAAAAAATCACCAAAGCATTAGCTGCCCCGGAACTACCCCACCAGCCACCCCAAACACTTATGACATTAAAAAAAAAATTCTGAAAAAATCCTTCCGAGAGCCCTTTGAAGCTGGCGATTTTTTATAAGACTCATACAATACCCCCACACAATATAAAAAATCACCAAAGCATTAGCTGCCCCGGAACTACCCCACCAGCCACCCCAAACACTTATGACATTAAAAAAAAAATTCTGAAAAAATCCTTCCGAGAGCCCTTTGAAGCTGGCGATTTTTTATAAGACTCATACAATACCCCCACACAATATAAAAAATCACCAAAGCATTAGCTGCCCCGGAACTACCCCACCAGCCACCCCAAACACTTATGACATTAAAAAAAAAATTCTGAAAAAATCCTTCCGAGAGCCCTTTGAAGCTGGCGATTTTTTATAAGACTCATACAATACCCCCACACAATATAAAAAATCACCAAAGCATTAGCTGCCCCGGAACTACCCCTCCAACCACCCCAAACACTTATGACATTAAAAAAAAAATTCTGAAAAAATCCTTCCGAGAGCCCTTTGAAGCTGGCGATTTTTTATAAAACTCATACAATACCCCCACATAATATAAAAAATCATCAAGCCATTAGCTGCCCCGGAACTACATAGAATCGGAGTCCTACATAAAATCGCCAGCTTCAAAGGGCCATTGTAACGATTTTTTCTGAATTTTTATATAATAAGGGCAAAACTTTGGGGTGGCTGGAGGGGTAGTTCAGGGGCAGCTAATGCCTTGGTGATTTTTTATATGGTGTGGAGGTGTTGTGGGAGTCCTACAAAAAATAGCCAGCTTCAAAGGGCCCTCGGAAGGATTTTATCTTAAATTGTTTTTTCCAAGTGTAAGTTTTTGGGGTGGCCGGAGGGGTGGTTTTTGTGTTTTGAGGAGCTAATATATCATTTTTAGGGCTCACTGTCTCTATTCGAAACTGAAAAACCATTTTCAGTTTCAGGAGCAAAAAAAATTTTTTTTCGATTTTCGTTCATAAATGAACGTTCGGAACTTCAGGTACATAAACAAATGATTAGCTTACTAACTTGAAAAAAATTTAGAATTTTCATTTTTACATGTCCGCATGGGTATTGTTATTAAAAGTTATCAAAAGTTAACGAGAGTAAGGTTTAAAATTTTCGATCAGTTCATTTCTAATCATTATTATATACCAATCGAATCGATTTTACATACTCTACAAGCATCCTAAGCCAAACAAATATAAATAATGCTGTGAAGCGGGAAAGAATAGGAGTTACGGATAATTATTATGTGAAGCGTTCCAACATTCACGTAACAGGATAAATGGTAGGAAAGGATTGAGAAAGGATTGTGAAGAG